TCTATGTTTGGGGTCTGGGGAATACAGATCCTGGCAGAGTAAAGGAATATAGAAGGAGCCTGTGACACCTATTTGAAAGCCAAATGAGATATTGTGTATGTGGAAACCTTTGACATATTCCAAGGAAGCAATATGGAATGAAAAATGGAAAATCAGGGATTGTTATTAAAGACAGGCAGAAACGGTCAAGAAAAGAGAAAAATAAGTTGGCGGAAAGGGGTAACTTTAGCATTCTGGAAGGGCAGGGGTGTAACAGGAAGAGCAGGGGAATAGCTGTGCCATGACTGAAGAAAGCTCTCAGAGCCCCTGTGTGAATGGGATTCAAGTGCCGCTAAAACCAGCAATAGACATTGCTAAGCTGATGGGCTTTGTGGTGCCGACGTCAAACAGATAATTGCTCAAGAGCTCTGTCACGACACTCCCAAAGGTGACTTTTAAAACACTGAAGTTGGTAACTAGATTGGCACTATCTATAAAAGTTCTTTGTCTTGGTAATTCAACCTGTGAATTATGGGTGACAATAAAAAATATATTAGACCAGTGGTTCTCAACCGGGACCAATTTTATTAGCCAAGGATGTTTGACAAGGTCTAGAGGGGCTTATGATTATCACAGTAGGAGCTGCTACTGACATCTAGCAGGTAGCATCCTGGTTTGCTGCCAAACACCCTGCAATGCTCAGGACAACCCACCACAGAGAATTAGCCCGTCCATATCTGTTGTGTAAGTATCAAAAATCCTTCACCAGACTCCCCCAGATACAGGCTCCAGCTCTAGCTCCATTCGTTTTATCCCCATACTAAGAATTTCCTTATCCCTAGAAACAGAGAGCAGGGAGTGAGGTCAGCTGTGTGGATTAGATTGCTCCTCACTCTCCTATGGACTGTCATCATCCAGTCTTATCCCTGCTCAATTCCCCCTTCTTCATTCCCTCACTGCTTCTTCCCTCCTCTCTCTCTGTCTCTGTCTCTGTCTCTGTCCTGTCTGTCTCTCTGTCTGTCTCTCTCTCTTCTTACTCTCTCCCTCTCCACACTTACACTCCTAGTACAGTTTAGGTGAAGTTGGGTAGGCATATTCTCAGTAATAAAGTCTATAACAGAGAAACAGGGAGACAAGGAATGGGAGGTTATACTAGACTTAATCTCAAGCTATCTTCTGTCTCAGGTACACATCTAAAGAATCACTGGGTATAGCAAAATGTAGTGCTGAGAACTGGATAAGGCTTCAATCTAATTATGAACCCAACCACCACCGATACCTATCGTAACCCGTTACTTCCATCATGTTTCCACTAATCCTGTTCAAATACAGACTTAGTATGAGGTATGATGAGCACAGCACCAGAGGAGCAGGTGTGCACGAAGGCAGCACGTGTCCTTCATCACTGAGCCCGTCAATTAGAATCTATAAAGTTCTAATGCACAATAAATGTGTATGTGCACACAAGCTTGTGTGTCAATAATTTTCATATCTCATATTTATAATTCACAATTTTGACCCCAGAGGCTACGCGCTAACATTCTTTTTCAGGGGCAGACATCAGATGAGCTTGGATATTAGAAATAGTATACTAGTTAATTAAATTATTACTTTAAGCTAGAATGTAACCGAGCCTTTGACTACTTTGTAACTAGACACCCAGACTTACAAAACTGTATTGCCAGAGGACACTGATTACTTCTCCCCCCCCCCGCCCCCGAATGTTCCAGGATTGCACTTTGGTACCAAGGTGATGGCTGTCAGGGAGCCTTCCTGTTGTCTTTCAGGTCAATGTTCCTAACAGCAGTTGTGGCCATATTAATAGACAATTTGCATACTCCTATATTTAGAGTGCAAATGAAGAAGCCACACCTGCATTTCCAGTCTCCTTAGAAAGAACTCTTCACATCTGCATCCCTTCTCAGGAAATGCACAAAACTGGGCAGAAAAAAATCCACAATTGCACAAAGACTCGAGGAATAAAAATGTAAGACCATCTCTTCTTGCCTACCTTCCTTAGTATATGTTTTGTAAAGCAAGAGGGAAAAGACTAGACAGCGTTGATGACTATTTCATAGTGAAGCGTATATCTAATAATTCTGTGGGAAAATATGAATATTATATAAAAAAGGACTTTCTCAGCTCAGGTTAAAAGGATAGACATGTGTTTTTTCTGCTTGGTTTTGCACCAGCAGGAGTCAGAAAGCCCACTCAGATGTGCAAGCTGTACTTATGACAGGTTCCAAGCCTTGGGACAGCCCTAGTCAACCTTGGAGTTTCTCTGCTACTTCCTGCCATTTTGATTATTCCCACGAGCCTTTGGACCACTGGCTGCTTACACCTCCTAAAGAGTGACCTTAAAATTTGATTTTGCCCCCAGTCTCGAAGTCTTTGTAAGGTAATTGATTTCTCTGAGTCTTAGTGTCTGCCGTCATATCTGTCTTATTCCGTGTTTATTTTTTTGAGGGGGGCGGGGGGGGGTAAAATGAAGTAATTAGGGTTGAAAATGCTGAACAAAAAATGTGGCTGGCCCACAGCAAGCATTTGGGAATAGCTAGCTTTTGTCCCTCCTCCTGGATTTGGACTCCAGCACTGAACTAAACACTCCAATTATCTAAGCTGCCCATGTGGCAAGACAATGCAGAAGTCACCTGGGGTACTGAGGTCCAAATCCAGAAGAGGGAGAGCTGTCAGCGTACTTTCTGCCCAGGTGTGTCTTTTCGGGGCGATAATACACTCTCATGCCAACAGAAGGCAAGCCCATTGTCTCACTGAGATTCTGCTTCTCATCTTTTCAAGAAAGACCATTTCCTCAGCTTAATTCTCTCACCATGTAGTGGAGCCAGAGCAAACTTTTTCACTCGTAAGTAGCCTCCCAACCCCATTCGGATCAAGCATCCCTATACATAACCGCAGAGTTCAAAATGAAAACACCTCTTCCTCTCTCTAGAACAATCACAAGGTCAGAAGGATAATTTAGCTGTAAAATTACAGATTATTAATAAAATCATCCCTAACTGGGCTATTTCCATCTTTTACGTTAATGTTCCTTTAACTATAACTGCTTAGACCTTCGCTCTCACAGCTTATCGTCTATTTTGTAAGGGAACTTGGGTCAGTTTCCTCTTGCATAAAACAAGAGCATTGATATCAAACACTTATAAAAGATAATAGCAGTTGGATGACTGGAGGTACTCGAAACTTTGTGCATTGGGGATAGATGGTAGAACTTTACTCTCATAATCATAAACTCATAGACATTCCACAAAAGCAATAAAAGGACACTTAAATCTAAAATATCACTTTCCTTTGAGGGCCAAAGTCTGAGATAGCTAGGCAATCTTTTCTTTGGGGAAGGGAGATCACAGATTCCGACATTATAAGTGGCCTTGTTTTTATTGTTTTTTTTTCTGTATGCTTTGGAGTCAAACAATAAGACCTGCATACCAGACTAGAGTGATACACCGTAGAACTTCCAACAGGAACTTTTCTAGTGGCCAGAAGTATCTCAACAGACTGGGAAAACAGAAACTGACCTAGCTCATTTGGAAATGGGCTTGGCCGCTGATGAAATCGGTGAACTATAATTAAGCACTGCAATAAAGAGCTAAGCACTTTCATGACAACAAAAACACACACAACACACACGCACTAGGTGGGTAGCAACAGGTTATTCAGAGGCTCTCGCTGTCTCGCATTAGAATATTCACCGAGGTGCATAGAACAGACACTTGCATTGTTCTGAAACACCTCGCAGGTGGAAAAAAAGAAAAGAAAAAAAAAACCACTACACCATTGTGACCTTTAGGCTCATTTCTAACTTGAGGAAAGACTGCCACCCTTCTGAGTTTCTCCTTCTCACAGAGACCTCAAAGCAAAGGGCAAAGCGGCATTGTTTACGGTGACTCTTCTGGCAAGACATTCTCAGTTCTGTTTTGGCAGAAACCACAGATCCAGTTTCTACTTGGGTTCTTGCATTTAGACGTGTAAGCTCCAACTATGCATAGCACGCACTCATTAGGGCTCCCAACCCCTGTAAGGCATGTCGAAATAATAATTTAACTGTCACATCCTGCACAGATAAATGTGTCTTAGGAGAATTTGTCTCACTGCAAGTTCAGGAAGAAGGTGAGACCGGCAGCTTTTTATTTCCTTATTAAAATGTTCGTGTATTGGGAAAGTTCATATCTAACTCTAAAACCATCTGGCATTTAAGAAATTAGGGGAAAAGGATTAAATGAAATAAAGCAAAAAAATGAGAATTTTACAATGGGATCTCCCTGACTCTTGGGCCCCTGTCCCCAAGAGCTAACTCATCTCAAGCAAGCAAACTACCAATAAAGGAGAAACCGCCTTTCTAAATTAGAAGCTTCTGGCAGGTAGCCTCAAGCATCGATTGCCTGAATCCCCTGGGAAGGTAAGTGCTGCTTGGGGAGCTGCAGGTGAAAGTCTGGTGGCAGCTTCCTTATGGACCTGCTAGGGTCTCTGGGGCTTCAGCACCCTGCAGGCATGCACACAAGCACACATCCCAGAGGCCCCTGGTTGGAAGCAGGATCCTTTGTGCAAAGGTTTCTAGTGGGTTGGGGCTGAGCCAATCTCTCTACCTGCCCAGCTCCGAGAAAGTAAATCATCATCTATCAGAGGTGCTTTCTATACCTTTGCTGTTCTAGCAGCACAGCATTTTCCAAAGAAGAAAGACAGAAAGAGAGAGAGAGAGAGAGAGAGAGAGAGAGAGAGAGAGAGAGAGAGAGAGAGAGAGAGAGAAAACATTTTCAACTTCCTTTTTATATTTTGCCCAGTAAAAGAGAGATTAATTCACACGGAATAGTGAATTTATCAATGAAATGCAGTTTTGACATCCATCCATCCCCCACCTCTCCAGTCTCGCCAGCGAGAGAGATAGACTCACAGAAGACATCCTCTTAACACAGAGTGCATTTGAACCTGGTGAACAGCTCCGTACTTGTCCTATGACAAATGCACGGGGCCGTTCCCTTCTCTTTGAGACTGCGAGGGCTTACCCAGGCAGAGCAGCGCCGTGACTCGAGCGGCAGAGAGCGTCTCCATCCTCCTCCCTCTGGGCAGTTTGCAGAGTGCGGGCGGGCGGGCGGGCGGGAGCCAGGAGCCTGCTGCTGAGCTGGATGGAGTTGGGCTGACCCAGGGGCTGGAGCCGACCAAGTAGCTGTGACTCTGCGCCGCCGCCAGGCAAGTGAGCTCAACTGCCTGGCTCGGTGACCTTTATAAGCCTGGGGAGGGGCACGAGGACTTACTAGCGGGCTGTCCAGGGTTTCCCAATTGGGGCTCCCGGGGGAGGAGTGGTGGCCAGCTAAGGACTGGCCAGATGTCATCCTCCCTCTCAGCAACACCTGAGAGGAGGGTTTGAGGAATGAATGTCCTTCTAGTGTGCCTGGGACTACTCCCCAAATTTTTCCATCCTCCCTGTCTTCGGACTCAAGCGTGAGCAGGTGGGGAGCTTGGACCAGATGATTGGTTCACTCCATGGGGTCATCTGCCGGGTAGTGGGTGGCTTTAGGTCCTGTGGGTGACTGTTGCAGTCAGGGCTGGTGTTTCCAGCACATAGTTTTGGAGAGCTGCCTGTGTGACTTGCCCATTTAGGGCCGGAATAACTCCCTGTTTGGGAACATACTTGAAGCTTGTCAGTGGCTACAGAGCCCTGCTCCTATTCAAATGCCCGGAAATGCCTCTCGCATTCACGCCTGCCTTCTTTCTCAGTCCCTCGGCTTCCCACATGATTCAGACATTTATTACTCCAAAGTCTAGTAATTATGAAGAAAGCCCTATATTGTTTTTCGTTCTGTCCTATTTGCTATCTCTCAGCAAATTTTTTGAGTTGACAACTCTAAACATGGCCTCAATCCAGCATTCCTTCAAACAACACCTTCTGGTGACTTCTCCGTGCCTTTGGAAGAAGGCCTGTCTCCCATGTGAACTGAAACAGTCCTTACCTCAGCTCTCACCAACTTGCCAGACAAATCGGCTCACCTACTCCAAGCTGGACAACTCAGTACGTGTCTGCTTCTTAGTTTCCTTCCATTGTTGAAGGAGTCTTACTTGGGGGATCAACTGCTCTTTATGAGGAACTAGTCCAGCCTGGGATGCTTAAATCCATCAGAATCTCTTCAGGTCGAGGTTACCTTTTTCCTAGATTCATAGAATTATATGGATAGGGTCTATAGTGAATCATCTTTGTACACTTAGGCTTTTTATTTTCACATCTGTTCAGACAGATGTTTGTTGTGTTGTTGTTTTACTTTTTGCTTGTTATATTGCTCTGGAAGGCTTAAGAATTTTTCACACAAGGAGATTGGGGTGGAAAATGAACCCTGAATGGTTTTGCCTAATAACTTGCTTGATTTTCTAGCTCAAATTAGAAAAAGAATTGTTTTTAAATTCTTTTCCTTGTTATTCTCTCTCCCTTCAGTCAAGGTCTTTGATGTTTACAAACTTTGTTGTTGGAAAGAAATATTGCATTCTTTTAGTGGTTAAGATTGAGGGCATTTGAACGAAATCCTTGAGCAGCCTTCTCAGTCTCTCTAGCTTGGCTGGCAGGGGAAGGAGAAGGAAGAGTAGCTAACCCATGCAGAAGCTAAGCAGTGTGTTTATTTAGTTAGCTTAGTATCCAGAAAACGTTAATGTTCCCTGGAAGGACCGACTCCTGGAGGCAAGCGCCCGTGCTTAGGAGGTGTTTTTTGGTAGTTGATCAATATTTATGACTTCAGAGGAATCCATGAACAGTAGACTAGAGATGAGCAAGCTTTCTCTGCTGGTCTGAATCTGTCGGGAAGGCAGATGGCAAGAGGCTTGCAGGGATTTCTCTTGGACACAGCCATGACTCCAGCTGAGTAAAGTAACATTGGTAATGGGTTGTGGCTTTGCGGTCAGTTGATAGGAGTCATATTCTGTAAAATGCAATTAGAAGAGACTTGGTTACAAAGTGGCATTGGCCCTGCAGATTAGAGCTGCAAATAAAAGTAGCACAAGGGCCTGAGGAACAAAAGCAAAAACTAGAAAGAATGGGTCATCGACTTGGATCCTCAGCTTCTCCTGGTGACTCAGGCAGATGCTTGCGAGGGAAGAGAGGAACTCACTCATTCTGGCTGCTGTTTTCTTCCAGCAAATGGAGTGCTGGGCCTTCTGTTCGAACGAAGGTGGGAGAGTAATGGGGTCACGCCGGCAGCACTGGGCAAAGGGCAGTTCTGTGGCGTCATCTACAGAGACGGTTTTCCACTCTACGGCTGATGCCTGCACGAGGGGAAAAATCCTCACAGGTCTCTCAGAATTTTCCACAGCACGTGCTCTTTAGCCAGCTGGCTCCAAACATGGTGTGAGGAAATCTTTCCTTTATTGGTTCTGTGTTTACTCAATTTTGTAGCCATCACTTTTCGAGAATGACTCCACCATGACACATCAGGCACACTTGCCACTCACTGCCTCCGCAAAATAGCATCCGACTTTTTCTAGATAATTAGCAACGATTTTTATTCATCGTTCATTTAAATATATATGCACATAGTATCAGAATGCAATCATATTTCCTCTTCAAGACACAAAATGTTTTTGAAGGCATGCAGAATAGTTGGAGAACAAAATAAACTCGTAATTTTTCAACTAACGAATAACTTTAAAACATCAGCCAAATAAGTAATTCCAATTTGATACATATGTGAAATTATTTCTAAGAGATTAATAGACTTAATATAATTTACAGATTATATATATATACATGTTTAATATTGCTTAAATACATTGAATTTTTAATGTGATTAGTAAATGTGTTAATTTTTAAAAGATACCAAATTCATCATGGCATTGTAGCATGTACTTTTATTCTTAATTAAGTTTGCTCATCGTTTCATATGTGTACTCTGTCCTCTCACCCTCTCTTAACTCCTTCCTGGACCCTGTAACTTGTCTTCTTTCCGATAATTCAGTTTCTCACATTTCTGTCTAAGTGATCAGTTGACAAATATCTAGTCTGTTTCCATTTCATAGTTCCTGTGTGTTCATCAGCAAGAACAGGTCTCTCTCTCTCTCTCTCTCTCTCTCTCTCTCTCTCTCTCTCTCTCTCTCTGTGTGTGTGTGTGTGTGTGTGTGTGTGTGTGTTATGCCCAAGGTGGCATAGTTAGTTTACCACTTAGTTTTATTTCTGTTTTTTGCAAAACCTCCAGACTGATTTCCAAAGCAACTGCACTAGTTTCTGTTCCCACCAGCCATGTATAAAGGTTCCTGTCTCACCCATGCCAGCGTTTGTTCTTATTTGATTTATTAACGACAGCTCTTCTGATAGGAATGAGGTACAATCTGAAAATGCCTTAGATCTGCATTTCCCTGAGGGCTGATGATGTTGAAAATTGTAAGTGATCTCTAGTCACTTGTATTTACTCTTTTGAAACCTCTTTGTCCAGTCACGCAATCCATTTTTCTACTGAGTTATTTATTCTCTTAATGTTTACATTCCAACTCCTTTTGTACTCTAACCATTAATCCTCAGTTCAGCACATAGCTGCCTGAGACTTCTTCTTTCCTCCTATGGCTGCTTCTTCACCCAACTGTATGCTCTGCCATATAGAAGCTTCTTGCTTTTATAAGAGGTGCCTTACCTCCAGGGTAAAAGTTCTCCAAAATGGGGGCAGAGAGAGCCCAAGGCCAGATGGACTCACCAAAATTCTACCAGAAATTCAAAAAAGTATTAACACCAATGCTGCTCAATTACTACATGAAGTAGAAAAGGAAAGAAAACTCCATTCAGTACTCCTTTAATGAAGCCAGCAGCATTACACTGATATCAAAGCCAGATAGAGATAAAAAGCATGAAGGAAAGAAAAGATAAATTTACACCATGATCTTCCTGCTGAATACAAATATCCAGATACAGAGTGTCCCAATAAAATGCTTGCAAACCGAGTTCAAGATCAAAAAGATTGTTTATCATGATCAAGTTGGCTCAAGAAACCAATAAATATTATTTGTCACATAAATGCACTCAAAGACAAAAATTACATCATCATCTCAATAGCCTTTGATATAATTCAATATCTTTTCAGAATAAAAGTCATGGAGGAACTAGGAATGAGGGAACATTCCTTAATATAATAAAGGCTTTATATGCCAAAGCTATCACCAGCCTCGTGATAAATGGAAAAGAACCCAAATCATTGCCACCAAGATCAGAAACAGGACAAGCATGTTTTCTCTCTCAGTCTCTGCCATTTAGTGCTTGAGGTCTGAGTTAGGCAAGAAATAATAGAGGGCATGCAAAAGCAAGCACAATTGGAATAGGATAGAAGAGTCACATAGAAGCCCGTAAAGCTATAGCTGCTCGCTTTTTGACAAAGATGCTAAAAATGCATGTGGGAAAGATGTATGATTAAGTGTGTGTGTAATTATGATGATATAATATAT